ATCGGATCACTACTCCTTTCGCTTGCTAGATTCACGAGTTGTTGATCCATACGATTAATACATTCAACAGATTTCGCTGAAAAAGATTTCTCAATTTGTTTGGTGATACATGAATTGTCCAATGTACGTACGAAATTAGTTGAACAAACTTCATCGTCCTTTTGTCCACCAACAGGGCCTACCACCGTCCATCCTAAGCTATATCTGACTCCTATAGGCTCCATCTCACCACCAATTCTATATTCTACTGGTAAGAATAGGGAGGGTTTTTCCTGAAGGCCAATCACCAACATGACATCATCATCTTTCAGCTCGTGTAAATCGATATCGTTTAAATGAGGCCAGGACCTAACATCTTCTCTCTTTGCAATACAGCTTCCTGAAATCGGAATTTCAGTTACAGTTCGAACGTTTGACAAATTCACTGATGCTTCATTGTCTATGGAAGTAACTGTAATATCAATCAATTGGCTTTTCATTCTCGTTGATCCAGTCATACCTGATAGCGTAAAATCTAACTCTGTCCCACTCACACCAAGTTTCTTTCTCAATCGTTCATGACAAAGTGTTACCTCTGATCCGCTGTCCAACAGAGCATAAGTCTTGATTACTGGTCCAGCTCCTCCCTTCGCTTTAACTTTTACTGGAACTACACTTAAACACACTTTCTCGCCGACCCCAATTGCGGAACTAACTTGGGCTCTCTCCAGTTGATTTGTTGGTTCTTCCGCATTAAAGTCTGTATTCGTACTTCTTGATACCAGATTCTTTGTTCCAGTTCTCGCTTGACTTGAAGGACTTAATTCATTGGGGTGCAATAACGTATTATGTTCCTTATTACATCCTTGTACTTGACATTTAAACTGAGTTTTAGGACACTGTTTCGCGAGATGGCCATTACACAAACACTTGAAACAAAGAACTCTCGCTTGCACCAATCTCTTTTTATCCTGACAAGGTAAGCTTCGAAACTTATCACATCTCCAAATTCTGTGTTCACTGGAACACATAGGACATTTCCTCTGAGTTGGTAGGGTATCGTCCTGCTCCTTTTTCTTGTTGCTATATCTTGCTGCGAATGATGATCCAGTTCGTTGACCAAATCTTCCTTGGTAATCTCTGTTCTTCGGTTTTCCGCCTTTGTCTGACGAAAAAGTTACCAGATCTTCCCCAAATTCATTGTTCACAAGCGTAGCTCGTCGTTTAACAAATTGAAGGAAATGAAGAAACTTTGGTCTCGATCCACGTTCGACGATCTCTCCCGCTCGTTCCGTCCACTTAACTCTCATGAATCCAGGCAACTTTCGATTTAACAATTTCAACGTATTAACATGATCTAGTTTATCAGTGTACTCAGATCCCATTCCTGCTAAAGTTATGTTAGCAACTTCAAGATGTCTTGCAAACTCCAGTAGGCTTTGACCGTTCACTTGTTTCAAAGCAGCTAAGTTTTCCAACTTCTTTATGTAAGCTTGGGCTATGATATGAGGTTTCCCAAAATTTTCACGTAAGGTTTCCTTCGCAGCTTGATAACCATGTTCCTCGGGAAGATTAACACAGCTCTCCACTGCCTCACGAGCCTTGCCAGTACAGTGCTGAATCAGAAGTTGTAGCCGTCTTGAATTATCAGGATTGTCTTTCTCCAAACATGTCTCGAAATTATGCATAAATGAGATATAGTTCACTGGGTCCCCATCAAAATGCATATATTTAATTTTTGGTGTCGAAACTACTTGACGCAATGCTCGTATTACTTCTTCTCCTGTGTCCACCATCCTTGGCAAGGACTCCACATCACGATGAATATATCGCTGCGGTGGTTGAGATGGTTGGGGCCAAGAGGTCGTTGTCGTTCTCTGCGGTGGTTGAGATGGTTGGGGCCAAGAGGTCGTTGTCGTTCGCTGCGGTGGTTGAGATGTCTGGGGCCAAGAGGTCGTTGTCGTTCGCTGCGGTGGTTGAGATATCTGGGGCCAGGAGGTCGTTCGTGGTTGACACTGTTCGTTAAACTGTGATATTCCTTGCCCAATCGGCTGGTTAGACACTTCTGGATTTCCCACTAAATCTCTCAATGTTTGCAACGGTCCAATATCTGTTTCTATTGTTGCTTGTGCTTCCTGACTCCAAACTTCTTCTGCTAACACTTTCACTGGCGGGCGGCATAATTCTGTAAATGCAGTGTTTTGACTTAACTCTGGCAGTTCTTGTCCGTATTGCCTCAGAGTAGGTTGATCCACATAATATCTCGAAACACCCTCTTGTTTCTGACTAGGTGTGGATTCTTCAATCTTTGACCCTCTAGATACATAAAGTTCCCTCGGAAAGTTAAATGTTTCTCTATTAGCTTTACTAGTTTGTATAGGATTTACTGATTTAAAGCCAGACCAATTCATAGCACCGTCTCTAAGTTGTAATCTGTCTTCTTCATAGTGATCTAAATTATGTTCTTCCTCATTATCTGGTTCATAAATAAGACTTACCGCTGCACGCTCTTCTTCCATTTGTGCTTCCATAATTTCCTTTTCAAACTTCAATTCAGTCATTTTCCTTTCAAGCTGATGTTGTTTCTTCAACTGCGTAACTTTCAGCTTTGCTAAAGCCAACTTCTCTGCCTTTCTTGATATAGCTGTTGACCTTCCACTCCGACTAGACATTTCAGAAAGATTACCTGTTCGGGCTGTTCCACTTTGCTTCTTGCCAGAGTTTGACACTTCTTCTGCATTTTCTCTTGCTTCCAATTCGAGATTTTTGCACCATTGCTGAACTTCCTCATCAAAATACAATTTTCTTATCTTCTGCCTTTCATAACTCAGAAGTGCCTTTTCTTTTTCTTCCTTTGAAATTATATATTCAATATATTGTTCCTGAGCGTTTACAAATTTTCGCCAAGCATCATCATACTTTGCCTTTCTCGACATAACTTCAATCGTCTCCTCATATGCACACATAATTGTTTCAATGTCACCTTGTATTCTCGTTAAAGTACTAATATGTCCTGCTCGAGATCTAAACAACGCATTTGCTTTCTCAGCGAAATCTTCTTCTAGATTTCTCCCTTTATTCAGTACGTTTAGTCTTGAACTTCGTCTCACTAAAGTTTCTCTGCCATCAGCCTCTGATGCAGTTTCTCTTCTAATTTCTTGATTAATTTCTTGTCCATCAAGCGTAAAACAAGATCGTACAGACATTTGTACGTCTTTAATCAAACTGTCCGATTATACAATTCACAATATCAATGTTTCATGAATTCATAAATTCATTTCATGTTCGTAATCTTCACAAATTAAAGTCATCGATCATAAACATCGATGTCCAAGCAAATATCTGTAACCAACTCACTGGTTCACAAGCTGGTTTCCACTCAAATAAACTATAAGACCAGCTATTCCTGAGAACTTGTTCAAATTCCAAATTTCCAATCGCCAGACGAACGTAAACATTCGTTCATAATACTCGAATAAAACTGTTTTCTACTGTTACCAAGTCCTACTTGGCAGCGAATTAACACACGAAAATAAGCTACATCAAGAGCTTTTAAAAAATTAATATCTCTTTATTTCAATTTACGTAGGAAACAGTCTGTAAATGCATGCAACACGAAAATATATATCAATTAACAAAAATGGCGGCTGAATTTATGCTTATTGCTAGCAAAGTCACGTGACCGGAAATGTACGCGGAAATCACATTCCGGATGTGGGAAACGGTAGCTACATATACCCTGGAGAACATTGAATTGGAATATGAATCCATCGACAACGCTGAGTTGGCGAAAACTGTGGAAAGTCAATTTGACACTGGACGGACGCTATCTTTTGAACATGTGACTTTGTTGAAAACGGTAGAATGGGATAAAGACGATACTCTGGTAAATGAGACGATTAATGTTCCACGGAAAAGTATGAAAGCTGTTGTAATGTTGTTCACAAACAAAACAAAAACCGACAGTGAGGAATATGTTTATCCCAACATTGACAAAGTTAGTTACTATCGAAGGAGTTCCGAACTCTGTTTATAGTCAGGGGATTCCAAAAACTAGGTTGTTTGAAGAAGCGAAAAGATTTTTTGTGAACCGTCATGTAAGTGGAAAGTATGGAGACTGGCTAGACAAACGCTAACCAGAGTTTTCAAAGATTACTTACAAGTTTGCATTGGTAGTGGATTTAAGAACCGTGGACGATTCTGAATTTTATGGAAATGGTGCTAAAATTTTGAATGCACAATCCGGAATCTTAGTAGAGATCACAAAACGTGCAACGACTGCTAATGCGTTATGTCACATGTTTGTGTTGTCTGATGGGCTGATAAATATTGTGAACGAACAATTAGAAAAAGTACAGTATTAGTTGATATAAAGTCGCGCTAGCCGCTCCGGCTGACGCCTAATCATTTTTGGAATTTTGTAAATTTCAAAATTAAACTTTCGCTGCTTCCTCACGTTTACAATTTAGACTAATGTTAGGACGTTGTTGAGGTATCACCGTAGACTCATGTCCAACATTGTTTGTCCTATTATAAACATGTTCAACTACACTTTTGACATCACTATTCAAATGTTTATCTTGTTGTAATTTTTCTCTTAACTCATCACCGCTGTCAATCATATTAGCACGGTAGAGAACTTGTCAATAAATGTTTCGGTTATACACGTAAAAACGCACAAGTTGTAACAAGTCTGCAAACAAGCTGTCATAAGTCTGTTCATAAGCTGTCAACAAGTTGTGTTCGCATTGCTTGTTCCCAGTTTGTTGTAATAAGTTTGAAACAAGCTGTTAACAACTTGTAACAAGCTTGATGTGCTAACAAGTTTGTTACAGCTATGATATAACAAGGATGTTACAAGGTTGTCAACACAAGGTTGTAACAATCTTGTTATATCAAGCATGTAACGGACTTGTCAAAACAACCTTGCAACAA